GGCACAGTGAGACAGGGCAGTGTGCATAGGCACAGTGAGACAGGGCAATGTGCATAGGCACACTGAGTGGAGAGGAGGACACATCTGTGTCCCTTTAACAGCTGACCTTTAAACGTTTCAACTTATATGGAACGGTAAGTTTCCCCTGCAGCAGATGGTATCTTAATCACTGTTGTGTTGCTGTAAAGAGACACCAAGACCAAGGCAAGTCCTATTTAAAACAAGACAAAACATTTAATTGGGGCCGAGTGACTCAAGTGCTTGCTGCACCGTCCTGGGTTTGATTCTGGAACCCATGGAAAGATGGAAGATGAGACCTGACTCCAAAGAATTATCCGGACCCCCACATACATGACAGAGCACATACAGTGATAATGATTTTAAATTCCTTTGTATCATAAGGGCTACACAAAGTGTCCTGTGCTTCTATTGGTTAGAAAACAGTTTGTGTGCTTAGGATTGTGACTGCCACATATACCTGCTGTTTTCTGTGATTGAGGCCTTTTCCTGTTTGTACAGTGAAGCTTAAGTTCCCTAACAAGTGACTCGCCATGTAAGCAGGGTGTCCAGGTCAAATGTCAGAGTTCTGAATAACAACCTTAGAGACTCCCGTGCAGCAGGTGAGACTTGAGCATCTGCACTGCTTGTCCATGGCACAGTGTCTGGAATTGCATTGCTGAGCCTGGGAATGCTGAGTTTTGGTTTTTGGTTTTTGTTTGGCTTTTTTGTTTTGTTTTGTTTTTCCTTCAAGACAGGAAGTGTATAATAGCCCTAGCTGTCTTGAGGCTAGCTCTTGAGGACCAGGGTGGCCTTGAACTCACAGAGACCCACCTTCCTTTGCCTCCTGAGGGCTGGAATTAAAGGCACACACCACCACAGCCTAACTCACCTGTTAATGCTCTTACAGCAACAACTAGACTCGACAGTGTGTTTTGAAACAGGGTCTCACTCTGTAACCACAGTTGATTGTCCTGGGACTCACAGTGTAGCCTAGGCTTGCCTCAACCTATAGTGATCCTGCATTAGTATCCAGAATGCTGAGGTTACAAGGCGTAAGTTCCCTTGCCTGCTGCCTTTCTATAACGTTCTTGTCTCAAACCTTTTCTGTTCTTTTTCCCTTGTAGTTTCTGGTGAAGCTGTTTCCTGCATTGCTGTTTCCTTAGGTGTTGAAAAGTCAAAAGTCACAGTTAATAGCAAAGCCACCTCACTGAAAAAGGAGCCACCCAAAGAGAAGCCAGGTCAGTATCTTCCATGAGTACATTTTACCAGGCATTTCTAAGACCTCTGTGCCCACGAGAAAGCCTTTTGTGTAAGCATGGGATGTTCGGATTATGCTGTTGGAGATTATGCTGTTGTTTTTTTTTTAATCACATTGCTTAGCACTTGAAATGTCTTACAGTTGTTGGTACCACTTGTGAATGTTAACAAGAGCATTTTGCATGTTTTTTGACTATGCACCAGCCAGCAAGGTATAAAAGCTGCTGTCAGGGAGTGGCTTATTCCGTGCCACCCTCCTATAGGCCACACCCACACTGCCCGCATTTGCGTTCCTTCAACTCTGTCTGTGCTGTTTTTCTAAAATTATTGCTGTTGTTTCATTTCAGAAGCCTTACTCAAGAAAAGGAAGGCTCGCTCCATGCTCCCCCTGAGCACAAGCTTAGACCACAGGTCCAAAGAGGAACTCCATCGAGACTGTTTGGTACTAGCAACTGCAACACATGCCAAAGGTACCAAGCACTGCTCCTTGCACCTGTGCTCTCACAGTTGATGATGGTGCTGTGTGTTAAGTAAATGAGCAGGTGTCTAAGATTACTACTGCCTGGACTTTTTTCCCAGCTTCCCTATCTTTGACCTCCCTGCCCTACTGCCATGCCCCTATCTTGCCGCCACTGCTCCCAGTATCCCATCTGTCGCTGTTACCCAGCCGGCCATCTTTGAGCCACATTTGGCAAGGCACCTACACATCTGTTTTTCAGTCTATCAGTGTCTTTAGGTTTAAAAAAAAAAATCCTCACTAGAGATGCTCCGTACTTTAACGTATTTGATGGTGTTTTATTTTATTTTATTATTTTTTTTCAAAGTTTATTAAATTATAAAAGTTTCCATTTCCGCCCCTCCTCCCAACACCCTCCCACTCCCCCCACTCCCTGGTATTTTATTTTTTAAATGATTATTGGTTTTGTTTGCTTGTCACAGCCCAATATTTTGGTGTTTTTATTATGAATTTGATGTGTTGAAAAAATAACAGTTTTTAAAAAATCTTAAAGAGAGTGAGTTCCCCTGCTCACTCCACCACTGTTTTCTCTCGTGCTTGTTATAGGTATGACTTGTTTTGGGAATTTTGAGGTGATCTAGAGTCTCCTTGGCTAACAGTAGCTAAACTTACTGGAAATTAAGGATTTTTTACATTCTCAGGTGGGGTGGGTACTCTGAATGGAACCCAGGGCCTTGCACATGCTAGGCAAGTCCTCTATCATTAAGCCATACATAAACATAATTTGACTGTTGTAGTTTTGGTTGGTTGATTGGTTGGTTAGTTTTTCAAGATAGGGTTTCTCAGCTGGACAGTGGTGGCACACGCCTTTAATCCCAGCACTCGGTAGGCAGAGGCAGGCAGATCTCTGTGAGTTCGAGGCCAGCCTGGTCTACAAGAGCTAGTTCCAGGACAGGCTCCAAAGCTACAGAGACAGGGTTTTTCTGTGTAACAGTCCTGACTGTTCTGGAACTCTCTTTGTAGACCAGACTGCCTCCTGAGTGTTGAGATAAAGGTGCACACCTGTGTGCTCGATTCCTAGAGGATTCTTAATACACTCTGGTTAATCTTTTAACAGAAATTTAAATGTTGAATTTGGAATCCTCTTATAGTATTTTTCCCTCAAGCTTTTGTCAGCACAAATTACAAAATGGTATTGACTCATTGGATTCTTCCCAAGCTGACTTTTAAAAGCTCCAAACTGTTTCTGTCACTAGCAGGAGGTACAGGGTAGAGTGAATGAGGACCTGAAATGTGGATTTTTTTTATCTCTGAAGTAGGTGTTGGGGCATGTGTCCAGAGATTACTGGACAGAAAGCTGTAGCTGTGACTTTTTCCATCTTAAATTAGCAGAGCTAAATGAAGATGTGTCTGCTGACCTTGAAGAGCGATTCCACTTGGGCCTCTTCACAGACAGGGCTACTCTGTACAGGATGATGGAAACAGAAGGTGAGGCCTGCTCAGTCTATGTAGTCCTCTCTCTCACTCACTCTCCCTAATTTTGACACATGCCTCTATGTGGCTGCCAGCCTGTGCATTGCCATCTTGGCTACTCCCGTATGTCCTTTATGTGGTCATCAGACTCCAAACGGTAGCCTCTAACTGGTGCAATGCTCTTGAGGACCACTGGTGACAGTGGCCTGGCAGGCTCCAGCCCCATACATATATGTTGGGCTTGGTCCATGGCTCAGATCTATAATCCTAGCACTCTGGAGGCTAAAGCAGCAGCATCACAAGATTGAGGCCATCCTGTATGTCCATCTCATGAGTTCTAGGGCAACCTGAGCTATGAGGAGACTTTGTCTTTAAAAAAAATAAATAAATAAAATAAAATAAAAAGCTAGGGAGCAGAGGGATGGCTCAGCAGGTAAAAGTGCAGTCCTGACTGAGTCCAATCAGAGCATGCATAGCCTGTACTCATCCTAATGCCCTACAAAATGGGAAGCAGACGAGGATGAGCTGGAACTTAGTGCAGAAACAGAAACCCTGTCTCCAGAGCAAAGGGGAAGGGAAAATTAATTTAAAATTGGTCCTGGAGAAATGGCTCAGCGATTAAAAACACTGACTGCTCTTCGGAGGACCTGGGTTCAATTCCCAACACTCACATGGCAGCTCACATCTTTCTATAATTCCAATTCCAGAGCTTCTGACACCCTCACACAGACATACATGCAGGCAAAACACCAATGAACATAAAATAAATTTTTTAAATTTAAAAAAAAAACCCTCAAAGTCATTTTAGTAGGTGATTTGCTGATCAGCAATTGACTTTTCCACTGTGACTTTTGTTTTATAAAACAGCTTTCAAACTCTGTCTCCTCTACACAGGAAAAGGCCACCTGGAGAGCGGCCACCCTGAGCTTTTTCACCAGCTCATGCTCTGGAAAGGCGATCTGAAAGGTGTTCTCCAAGCAGCAGCAGAGAGAGGAGAGCTTACAGACAGCCTCGTGGCTGTGGCACCAGTAGGTATGTGCTTCTTGGGAAAGCGTGTTACTTTCTAGAATGTGCCATTAAAGATGCCTTAACACTGGTGTGGCGGTGCACGGCCAGCACCTGGGAGGCTGGGGCAGAGGAATCACCAATTCAGGGTCAAAAAGAAAAAAAAATGACTTGGCAGTGCTTGCCTTAAGCTTCAAGCACTTAGAAATAGATGGTTTTACAGAAGCTAATTCTGCAGCAGTGGCAAAGGCTGGGGACACATCACCCACTGTGTTTTGTCAAGACAGGAACGGTAGCCCTGTGCTCTATAAAGTAGGAGATTCATTTTGCTCACAGTTCTGGAGGCTTGGGAACCAGAGCCAGCATTGCTCAGTGGTGGCAGGGGTACCACAGATGTCAGAATATAGATAAGACAGAGACAGGGCAGGCTGGCTTTGTGGGTGAGGCAGATTGAGCCAAGCCTTGCTCTGTTTCTAATAACTCATGGGGATTAGTCAGCTCCACAGATCAGCAGTCTTCCCAGGAATGCTGCCCTATGTTTTAATTAGTGTCCACCAGTCCCCAGCTCTGGTGATGCCTCTAGCACATAAATCAGTGGTGGACAAACCACATCTTGAAGGACAATTGAACCATATGTGATAAATTTAAAATGTTTAAAACCTTTGGACCAGCAGTTCTAATGACAGAAACTAAACTATACTCACACTCAGAGACTTAGCAAAAAATCTTAAAGACCTACATGTCCATAAGTAAGAACCCTGTCAAGTCATGTACACAGATAGAATAGAAACCCTTACAAATACCCAAAGACTGAGACAGCCTTGTACATCCTTAACATGAGTGAGCTCTTAATGGAGGCAGCTAACATGAGCCTGGAAGCGCTGATCCATGCTATGGCTTGAAATTAGGAAATGAAGAATTATGACCCAGCTTAAGGAAGCAAGAGAAAGTCCCCCTAAATGCCCTTAAAAGACCACAATTCCTCTCCCACAAACATGATCATCTTAATTAGAGATGTAGTCGAAACAGCTTCAGGGGCCAGAGGCAGGAGGGTCTCTGAATTCCAGGTCAGCCAGGGCTACACAATGAGACCCTGTCTCAAAAGAACAACTGCTGAGAAGTGACAGTGAAAAAGCAACCGTTTATCACCAAAAGTGCAAAGATGAAGTACACAGAGGAACTTTGATGGCACCAGCCTTGCCCAGAAAGAGGTGGAGAAGGATGGTGAATTTAAAAAAAAAAAAAAAAATCTGTCTTAGAAATGAGTACCTTCGAATGGGGCATCATGATTGACACATCTCTATGGCTGTGAGGTGGAGCCATTGATGCTGTGGTGAACTTGTAAGTGGGCACATAAATCAGAATGTGTGCTGGGTCTCAGCAGACCAGCCAGAAGCTCTCTTTAGACAGTACCCTCAGCAAAAGGCATGCATGGCCTTGCTGTCACTGTCTGCTCCCACCCAGAAGTGTCCCCTGAACTCTGTCTTTCATGTTGATAGAGCAAGTCAAAGAATAATTCCTGTTTCAGAATATGGGTGTGGGGAGGGAGTTGAAGCAAAAGGACTGCATAGCATATGAAGTAGTGCCTGATTGTTCTGCCTACTGGAGTGATGAAATGGTGTTTTTAACTCAAGTATACCTCCTTTGATGTACCTCCTCCTTTTTTCCCACCTTTAAGCTGGCTATAGTGTGTGGCTGTGGGCCGTGGAAGCCTTTGCCAAGCAGCTGTGTTTCCAAGATCAGTATGTCAAGGCTGCCTCTTACCTGCTGTCCATCCACAAAGTGTATGAAGCTGTGGAACTTCTCAAGTCAAATCATTTCTACAGGTCTGTGCAGTTTGGGCCTCAGCCAGCATCTGGCAAGTACTGTGATCTAAACTTGTTGGTGAAGCAGTGGGGACTTGATGACGCATACAGGGAGCTCCTCTAAGGATTTTCTTTATGTGTGTGTGTGGGTGTGTGCACATGATCTCCGGGGCCAGGGACAGTGGATCCCCCTGAACTGAACTTACAGGACCTTCTGAGCCACCCAGCATGCTGGGACCCAAAGTTGGGTCTTCTACAGGAGAGCAGTGAGTGTTCCTAACTGATAAGAAATTTCTTACCACTGCCCCCTCCCCCTTTTAAGAAAAATCTAATGTTCTAGTCTTAGGGTTTCTATTGCTATGATAAACACCATTGCCAAAAGCAACTTGGGGGAGAAAGGGTTTACTTCAGCTTACAACTGTAGTCTCAACTGCTGAGGGAAGTCAGGGGCAGAACCAGGAGGTAATAGCTGAAACATAAGCCATGTGCCTCTTGGCTTCTTCAGTTTGTTTAGTTTTTCGGTTTTTTCGAGACAGGGTTTCTCTGTACAACAGCCCTACCTCTCCTGAAACTAGCTCTGAAGACCAGGCTGGCCTCAAACTCACAGAGATCTGCCTACCTCTGCCTCCCGAGTGCTGGGATTAAAGGCGTGTGCCATCACCATCCAGCTTGTTCACATTCTTGTCTGTGCACCAGGTGTGTGCCTTGTGTTTGAAGAGGCCAGAAGAGGGCATTGTGTCTCCTGGAGTTTATGTTACAGATGTGTTGATGCTGGGAATTGAACCCAGATCCTCTGGAAAAACAGCCAGTGCTCTTAATCACTGAACCATCTCTTCAGCCATTGATTCCCCTGTCCTCCCCCTTTTTTGAATAGTATGGTCTACTAGTGATAATTCCCAAAACTACTTTTGTGTATGAAAGCCTACAGTTTCACCTTCATCTTAAGAGATCTTTTTCCAAGTTTAGAGTTTTAGATTGCTTCCAGGTGTGGTGGTCCACACCCCCAATTCAGCACCAGGAGGAATGAGGGCCGGAGCATGGGATGTGGTGATGTACACCTGTAATTCTAGCATCTTGAGGAACAGGAACCTAAAAGGATCCTATACTGCAAATTTTCTTTCTACTGTTTTTGACTTCGATACTTTTATGTAACCCAGGCTGGCCTTAAAACTCCTGCCTTAGTTTTCCAGGTGCTTAAATTACAGGTGTGCACTCCATACCAGCTGTATTTTCATCTGTACTGCAGGAGAACAGTGGAGTTTCCTCTATTCAAGCCTTTCATTATCACTGATTTTCAGTAATGTGAAATCCTTTTGTTTGTCTTGTGTGGCTTTTGTCCTCCTTTAGAGAATGCTAAGTTTCATTGTGACTCACCTTGATCTTTTTGGAAACAGGGAATAAAATCTCATGGTGCTAGCCTCAAATCTGTGGCCATGTTGTCTGTTTCTGGAGTGCTTGCAGGCCTTCCCCTATTTCAGAGGGCAGGTTTAGAAAAGTCTATACTATGAGCTGTATGGGCCTCCTACCTTCTGATACCTCCGTTGCAGGCTTTGCTTAGTGAGCAAGTCACAGCAAGCTCTGAGCATCATTCAGCTCCAGTCGCTCTACTTGTTCTTTGTTTGGCCTCTCAGAGTTCCCAGCTTGACCAGAGACCCAACAGGATCCACAAGCAGAGCTCTGGCCACCTCTGTGTGTCAACAGCTTCCTCCTCCTTTGGTGTTACGGCCCTTTGGTTTAAAGGACTATGCCTGGAAGTAAATCCCCAAGTTTTTCTTATCTCTTTCTCTCTCTTTCTTTCTTTTCTTCCTTCCTTCCTTCCTTCTCTTCCCTGTGCAGCTCTGGCTATTCTGGAACTCGTTTCTCAGACCAGACTGGCCTCAAACTCACAGAGGTCTGCCTGCCTCTCCCACCCCTGTTTTGCATTGTTCTTTAGATCATTTCTGTCCCTGCTACAGCTTTACAGTGGCTGCAGCTCAAGCTGAATTGCAGTTGGAAAATGTTTCCCAGGTGACTCAGACCCACCACATACCGAGATGATTTGGTAGGAGCCCCACAAGTGCCCTAAAGGACACTCTTTAGTCTTGGGTCACTGTCACTGGAAAAGTTTTCAACTGTGGGATGCTCTGAGTCCCCGGTGCCAGGTCCACTTTTTTCCAAGAAAGTATAAACTTTATCATTGGAAACATAAAATGACGTGCTTTACTTGGTTCACCTTTGAGAAAATAGCTATAAAATACTCAAAGCTAAATAACTTATCTGTTAGTTTTGTTTTTTGAGACAGGGTCTCACTTTAGCTCCAGTTATTCTGGAACTCCCTATGTAGGCCAGGCTAGCCTTAAATTCACAGAGATCTGGCTGCTTCTTCCTTCTGTGTGCTTGCACCAAAGATGAGCACCATTGAGCCTGCCAGTGCTTTTTAAGAAATGAGAGTTTTCTTGAAGAAAGCAGCTAGCTAGGGATAGAGAAATGACTCAGTGGGCAGTGGGTACGAGTGTTTGCTCTGCAACAGGAGACCCGTGTTTACATCCCAGCACCCAGAGAAAAGCTGAGCATGGCTGCCTATGCCTGTGACTCCAGTGTCAGCAGATGGGACTAGGAGGGTTCCCAGGAGCTCATTGGCCAGCCTAAACTATCTAAAAGAAATGGGATAGCTCAGCAGTTAAAGCCTCTTGCTGCCCAGCCCGTGGACCCAGGTTTGAGTCCCAGAACCCATGCAGTAGAAGGTCTTACAGAACCAACTCCTGCAGGTTTCCTGACCTCCACACTCATGCCTTGTGCATGCACAGCCACAAGCAGTCTAAAAGGAAGGGGAAAGTGATAGGAGACGTGTGTATGTGGGCATGGGCGCAGGCACTCACATGCACCACACACATTTACACACACACACACACATACACACACACACACACACACACATACACACATACTCAAATGCTAGAAGTAAAAGGCAGCTAGTCAGTTTGTAGTGTACTCTTACAAATTTCCCCAGAGATGACTGGCATGGTTTGGAATAATGTCAGGAAGAAAGTGTTCTTGCCATTTTGTGATGGTGAAGGTCTAAAATGCTGATGGGAGGAACTAGTGAAATTAATCATTTGACTGCCTCTCCAGGGCACTCACCGTTTTTCATTGGTAGCCTCATGTGGAGGAACCCTTGCTGACTGACTGACTATGTGCTTTTGCCTTTAGAGAAGCTATCGCAGTTGCCAAGGCTCGACTACGCCCTGAAGACCCCGTCCTGAAGGACCTGTACCTCAGCTGGGGGTCTATCCTGGAGAGAGATGGCCACTACGCAATCGCAGCCAAGTGGTAAGCAGAGAGGCCGAGGCTAATTTAGTACCTGCCTGGAGCACAACAGAATGGACGAACTCAGTGTAGAGGTGGGCACAGTGACCGGAAATGTAAAAAGAAGGGAAAATTCAACCTAGCTGCTTGTTCCACGGTTACCCGAATTGGCACAGGCAGTCAATCTCAGTTACAGACTTGGAAGTTTACACCTGTTTGCATTGATGAGATAAGCAGAATTTGGGGGTGAGTCCTCTGGGTCAGTCAGCACAGTGTACAAACCAACAACACATGGCCATCCTGACCTTGGCCTCCAAAGAGACAGCCAGAGCAGGGCCACCAGGATGGACAAAAGAGGGGTAAAAGGGCGGCATGGCTGGTGACTGCGTTTCATTCTTGCCACAGCTACTTAGGAGCCACTTCCGCCTATGATGCAGCCAAAGTTCTGGCAAGAAAGGGAGACGCAGCCTCACTCAGAACAGCTGCAGAGCTGGCTTCTATAGCAGGAGAAAGTGAACTGGCTGCTTCCCTGGCTCTCAGATGTGCCCAAGAGCTGCTTCTGGTGAAGAACTGGGTGGGCGCACAGGAAGCCTTGGGGCTACATGAAAGCTTGCAGGTCAGTCTCTGGAGCCTGAGGATGGGAGGGGCCCTGGGTCCCTCTCTGGTCAAACACCCCCAGTAGACAAACTTCCAGTTCAAGAAGTGACTCTAGAAGTATCCAGAGGCCGTGGTGGTTCTCCTGTCTCACTGAGATACTACAGCTTGCTGATTACTGTGTTTGGGGTCAGAGATGCACTGCTGTTCACAGTGATCTCTTCTGCTTACAAGTGCAAACCATCTGAACAGCTGCCAGTATAGCCAGCACCTGGGCAGTGCCCAGGGTTCCTACATTAGCACTGCCTCCCTCCGGTGAGGAGTGGTTGATCTCTGACAGGAAGATCATGGTGGGTAACAGGCATGTCTGGTTTCTGGAAAGCTTTGCTCCTGTGTGGCTAGAAATGATTCAGGGACTGAATGTAGCCCAGTGGTAGCTCATTTCCCGGGCAGGTTCCCAGGTTCTGTTCTCAGCACTTCAAGTAATAGCAGCAGTGTTAATGAATAACAGACCCTAGGAGTTGTGCATACAGCAGATTTCACTGACATGTTCATGTTCGCATATTACATGCTTTGGCCGTATTCAGACCCCACTGCCACCACTGTTTTTTTCTGACACATGAGAACTGAGGTCTAGCCTGTAGTCCAGGTTTACCATAAATACAGCCCAGCATGGCCTCAAACTCAAAATTATACTATCTCAGTCTCCCTGGAGTTGGCATTCCATGTGTGAGCCACCTTGCCAGTTCTGACATGGACTGTCCATTTTCTCTATCACAGGAATAAGGCCTAAAAACTGCTCAGCTGAGTGTTTAGAGCCCAGGGAAGATACATAGGTGGTTAGCTTTCTCAGAACTGGAAGATAGAGCCACAAGGTGTATTCATTATAGCATGACCAAGTCTAGGCAGAGCCACTTACCTACAGCTCAGAAAAGGCTGTCCCAGTAGTTCTGTAGCATTTCATTCTCTACCTGAAGCAGCATCCTCAGCAAAGCAAAAATCAAAATAGCTCTGTGGCGTTTTGGTCCACACTCTGGTAAGGGTCATTCTGACTGGTGCACAGCTGCCCTCTAGGCTTAATTGAGGACTTCTCAGGGTGCACCAGGCATCTTGTGGCAATGAGAAATCTAACAAATAATAATTTTCCAGAGCTTTTCTCAGTATTTTTGTTGTTAGTGGATTCCCTGTCAGACCTACTTAGACATGGCCTGTGCCTGCCCAGCTCCTGAGTCTACCAAGCTCACCTATTCCAACATCACTGCACTGTCGGCGAGAGAGGGCCTGATACTTAGGGCTAAAGGGTGGACCTAGGTGTGGCTCCCAGATAGGATCCTCTGTTACAAAGTTTCCTGGACTACAAAGGACGTGCAGAGCCCTTGCATGTCCCCTGTCACGTGGCTCCAGTGAAGCACAGGCTAAGAAGCCTGGGTGCTGTGGCTCACACAGGTGTGACGTCATCTATGTTTTCATGTGTCATACCTCTTTGTTGCTTAATCCCAGGGCCAGAGACTGGTCTTCTGCCTCCTTGAGCTTCTTTGCCGGCACTTGGAAGAAAAGCAGCCTCCAGAGGTCAGAAGCCCCTCCTCCATTTATCACCAGTGGGCTACAGGCTCTGAAGGAAACCTGGTGCAGAGAGTGACTGGTGTGTGGCGCAGCACCTTCAGTGTGGACACACCAGAGCAGTGTCGGGCTGCCTTGAAGAAGCTGCAGAATGTCAAGTATCCGTCTGCAACAAGTAACACTCCCTTCAGACAGGTGTGCCATCCTAGCCTTAACAGAGCTGCGTAGGTCAGGTGTTCTTCATCCCTTAGAAAAATATGGAAAACAGTTTTTATCTCGAAAAAGACAACACAGTTCAGGCCTTAGGAACACACCTCAGATGAAAGCCTTGAGCTTTGTATTCATTTGGGGTTCTCACTTGTTTAATTTTATAAGAAAGTTTGGGGTTGGAGTTATGGCTCAGTAGTTAAGACCACTGGCGGCTCTTGCAGAGGGTTCAGGTTGGGTTATCAGCACCCATTCACAGCTAACAACCATTTGTAATTCCAGTTCCAGGGGATCCAGCACCCTTGTCAGAGTGCTTCAAACTACAGAACCTAAGGGCTGGAGAGATGATTCAGTCAAGTAGATAAATTGCTTTTGAGTGAGGCCCCGTGTTTAATCCCTAACATGGCAGCTTACACCTGTGTTCCCAGGATTAGGGAGGCAGAAGCAGGTAGACCCCAAGGACTCGCTATCAAGACGATCTAGCCAAGTCGCTGAGCTTCAGGTTCTGTGAGAGACCCTGTCTCAAAAGATAAAATGGAGCCAGGTGGTGATAACACACACTTTTAATCCCAGCACTCAAGAGCCAGAGGCCAGCAGATCTCTGAGTTTGAGGCCAGCCTAATCTATAGAGCAAGTTACAGGACAGTAAGGGCTACATAGTGAAATTCTGTCTCAAAAAGGAAAAAAAAAAAGATAAAATGGAGAGGGAAAGACAATTGACATTGTTCTCTGACATCCACGTGCCAAAAAGGATTGCTATCAGATGTATTCCCGTTATTTCTTTTTTTGAGATGGAATCTCATATAGCCCAGGATGGCTCTGAAGTTTATTTTTTTAAGAGTTACCTTATTTATTATGCGTATAGTGTTCTGCCTTCATGTTTGTCTATAGGCCAGAAGAGGGCACCAGATCTTACTATAAGATGGTTGTGAGCTGTGTGGTTGCTGGGAATTGAACTCAGGACCTCTAGAAGAACAGTCAGTGTTCTTAACCTCTGAGCCATCTCTCCAACCCCCCAGCCCTGAACTTCTTTGTATCTAAGGATGATTGAAGTCCTGGTCCTCCTGCCTCCACTTTCCCAGTGCTAAGATTGCCAGTGTGTATCACCACACTGAGTCTATGTGATGCTGAGGTTAAACCCAGGACCTTGTGTGTGCTAAGCAGGTACTCGACCAATCAAACATAACCCCCATTTTGTTTTTCTAATTATAGCTTTGTAGATCCAGAAAGTTAACTTACTTTGTTTTTGTTTGCAGTCTAAAGATAGGATGTTGTATAACTCAATCTTTTGATCTCATGATTCTCCTGCCTCAGCTCCCTGGGCATGCCAGCTTCCTTTGCCATTCATTAAGTGCAGTGATCAGAATGACTTTAACACCAGACAGAGGGTGATGGGTGGGAGGTCAAGGGTTTCCAGAGTAGTTGTTCTATGGGATGGTTTCCAGTGTAGTGCCTAGCTATGGCACCGGGCTTGCCAAGTCTCTGCCACAGGAGGGTGTTAGCAGGTGAGTGAGACTCTGGCCTCTTTTCAGCTGCTGCTTCACGTCTGCCATGACCTGACCCTGGCAATACTGAGCCAACAGACTGCCTCCTGGGAGGAGGTTGTACCAGCACTGCTGCAGGCTGTTCTTCAGAGCTACACCTCAGGGAACTTCACCCTCATGCAGGAAATCTACTCAGCCTTTCTCCCAAGTGGTAAGTGACCCTCCCCTCCCACACACAAACACACACACACACACACACATCTCTGCCTGGGGTGCTCCTATTATAATACAATATAACCACCTCAAATGGTACTGTACTGGGAATGGCAACACCATTAAAAGATGATATGGCTGTGGCAAGAGAATCACCACAGATTCTAAGCTGCATAGTTTACAAAGTGAGACAAACCAGCATCTGCACTGGTGCCTTTACCTGGCTCTGCTCTCTCCCTTAAAGCTCAGAGAGGTAAACAAATAGGAGTTGGCATGGTTGCCTTCACCCTGTCCTCCCTTCATGGGGGAAGAGTGGGGTGGTCAGACAGATCGGCAGTTCAGGGTGCTATGTGGTGAATTTAAGGCCAGGCTGAAGTACATGAGACCTCGTCAGGCCAAGAAATGTGACTTTCCAGCAGGGCAGTGGTGGCGCATGCCTTTAACCCCAGCACTCTGGAGGCAGAGGCAGGCGGATCTGTGAGTTCAAGCCCAGCCTGGTCTATATACAGAAACACTGATTTGGAAAACCCCCAAAAACATAAATGTGCATTTCCAAGCTGGAAAGATCAGGAAAGCAAGGCATTTCTTAACTGTGGGATCAGTCCCTACAATTCATCTCAGTTTTCAGAACACGGATATAGTTCATGTCCCCACCCCCACATTAGTGTGGCCCTGGAGCTCTTAATGAAACAGTACTTTTCTGTCAAGCTGTGAGTGGTGTCACCTGTGGCAGTGATTGCATTGTCCCAAGGCAGGGAAAGGAAATGATTAGTTCCATTGGCTTTGGGCAGAGGATATAATACCAAGAGTTACATTGCTGTCCCTTTTCCTGGGGTCTGTCTTCTTGGGTGATAGAACATAAGGATGAGAAACCAGGTTTCTCATGGATAAAGAAATGTATGACATATCCCAAGATCCTTTTCTTTTAGGCTGTGACTACCTACGAGACAAACTGGGTGACCTATCTCTTGCCACTGCAGCTTTCAAAAGCTTAGAGGCCTTTTTTATTTATGGGCAACTGTATGAAGTCTGGTGGTCGCTCTGTGGGCCTGGCCCTGAGTCCAGCATCTGGGTGAAAAGCACAGTACCTGCGGAGCAGAGGGAGCCAGAGGACAGTGCCAGTGCCGAAGACACGGAGCCTGGGGCTGCTGCTCCTCAGCCACGGTCAAGCCCACCTTCAGGCCCAGGTCTCAGGCTCAGTGGAGAGAGTGAGCGTTTACTTAGTTCCTGCAGAGAGCTATTCTCAGAAAGGCACGCCAGCCTCCAGGCCTCCCAGAGGACTGTTGCTGAAGTCCAGGAGACACTGGCAGAAATGATCCGCCAGCACCAGAAGAGTCAGCTCTGCAAGGCTACAGCCAACGGTCCCAGCACAGATGACCCTGGCCAGGAAGCAGAGCAGGCTCCTTCCCAACCTCAGAGCCCAAGGTAAGATCAGGTTGTCCTATAACTGTGTCCAGATAAGCATGTGATGCCGTTGACTAGGCCTGGGAAGCAGCAGACCTAGGTGAGACAGCTGATTCTAGCCCTTCTGAAGGTACTTAGTGCTTTAGAGAGTACACCTCCAGTAGCACTCCACTGCGATTACAGCTATGTGCTCTGTGGATGTTTCTAGTACCTTTCATCTTGATTACATTCCCCGGGCTAAACCTAGAAGATAGCAGGAAGTGCCGAAATCTGTAGAGGTTATATTAACTTTGAAAAGTTATGGGGCTGCAGAGACAGATTGTAATTTAGGGTACCTGCTCTTTTATTAGAACTGCCTGTAACCTTAGCTCCAGACGATCCAACACCCTCTTCTGACTTTCATAGGTGCGTGCACTCATGTGCATATACCCACTCATAGACATGCATGCATACATTTAAATAGTAAATCTAAAAAAAATTTAAAACTATCTGCCTGTAATTCCAGCGGTCCAGAACTAGAGGCAGGCAGCTCAGGGGCAGCTCCCTGTAAGCCCAATGCTCCAAAATGGGAACCAGAGGCTCAGGGGTTCAAGGTTACTGAAAATTTGGGCCACCTAGGAAATATGGGGCTGTCTCCAGAGGAATTAGAAAATAGTCTGTTATGGCTGGGCGGTGGTGGTGCACACCTTTAATCCCAGCACTCGGCAGGCAGAGGCAGGTGGATCTCTGAATTCGAGGCCAGCCTGGTCTATAAGACCTAGTTCCAGGACAGGCTCCAAAAACTACAGAGAAACCCTGTCTTGAAAAACAAACAGACCAAAAAAAAAAAGGTCTGTTATGACTTAGAAATCCAGTCACTGCTGTAGGCAGAAAGCATTACCACAGAAGGGCAAATTCCAGTCTCATAAGAACTCTGGGCCTGGGGGCTGGAGAGATGGCTCAGTGGTTAAGAGCATTGCCTGCTCTTCCAGAGGTCCTGAGTTCAATTCCCGGCAACCACGTGGTGGCTCACAACCATCTGTAATAAGGTCTGGTGCCCTCTTCTGGCCTGCAGACATTCACACAGACAGAATATTATATACATAATAAATAAATAAATATTTTTTAAAAATTTTAAAAAAAAAAAGAACTCTGGGCCTGAGCAGGTGTGGGAGTGAATGCCTTTATTTCCAGAACTCAAGAGGCCAGCCTTGTTTACAAATCAAGTTCCAGGTCAGCCAGGGTCACACAGTGAGGTTTGTCTCAAAAAAATCTCTGGTCCTGGACAGTAGTGACGGATACACAACATGAGGAATGGAAGTATGTTTTTAGGCTACTACTTTACCACAATAAAAACCCTGGGGGTCAGCAGGTTGCTTGGTGGTAAAGGCATTTGCCACCATTCCTGAAACTTGGGAACCATCTCCAAACCTCCACATACACCCTATGGCATGCAAGTACAACCATGATCACACACACACACATGTATGTACAATAAACAAAAGAATTTTTTTTTAAAACATTTGGAGTAAAAGTTAAGTGACCATATATGACTTTAGTTTATTGTTCTCTTGCTAGCAGAGAAGAAAGAAATGCATCGGTCTCTCTCCCTGAATTAACCAGAAGGCTTACAGAGGCGAATAAGAGAATAGCTGAGTTTCCAGAGAGTGTAAAGGTAAGGGTGTTGGAGATACTTCAGGACAAACCTTGAAGGTCAGCTACATCTACTATTTTTGTATGTTCTTAAAATTTTAGGATACAAAAGTTAGGTGTGCACCACTTGGTGGTGGCAGGGCACGCCTTTATCCCAGTTCTTGGGAGGCAGAGGCGGGGGGGGGGGGGGGGGTGT